GCCGCTGGCCAAGACCGAGGTGCCCATCCACCTGATCAGCACCACCAACCAGCTGCACAAGCAGGCCGGCGTCCAGCAGCAGATCCCCACCAAGCTGGCCCTGAGCAAGGGCAAGGAGAAGGGCAGCAAGGGGAAGGCTTCTCACAGAACGGACAGCTCAGGTCAGAGCCGCCTGAGGGTCAGATGGCATCCCTGTGGCGTTGTGGGGTATTGCTTGTTGAGCACCGATATTTAGGAAGGAGAGGACACTTTCCTGTGATGCTCGCATGACCTGATGCCCAACGCTTATCCTCTCAAAAACACGAGTTTGTGTTCCAGACTGAGCAGTCAGGATTGACGTTAACGTTGTATGTTTTTCCGAAACGCTCTCATGCTGCATTCTGGGAAGGGCTGAAAGAGGGCTGTCCTCTCCCATAATTAATTGCACAGTGATTAGAAGCTGATCAGAACTGCATCCTTTTTGAAAGCTCAGCGTTGTAATGTTACTAAAATATTTACGATGCACAATTGCTAAAGTGTGAAAGCACTGTTTCAGCTTAGTCCACCGAATCCTACCAGCATTTCCACTTTGTAGCCTTTGTAGCAAAAGTTGATCTTGAAAAACTAAGCACGGCAGGGCATGGACGACACCTGTATGGGAGATGTCCAAAGAAAAGTGGTGTTGGTGGACCAGTAGGTGGAGCTCTTAACAACCGTGCAAAAACTGCAGAAATCCTAACACTCTTTAAACCCAGATAACAGTGACAGTTACGCAATGATGTAAGAAGGTAAAAAAAAAATAACTTGGATTTTCTGTCCACAGCCGCAACAGACCGCAAACAGATCCTGCCCCTCAAACTCTCGGGGAAAGAGGAGGGGACGTTAAAAGGAAGGAGATCCGTCAGCCCCAACCAGAACTACCAGCAAGGTAAAAAAGAAAGGAAACCCGATGGCTGGGAATGATCTGTTTTATAAGAAATTGGCCAGAAGACAAAGCTGTGGCCCTGGATTTGTGAACATTATTCGTACTCGACCTTAAAACAAAAATAGAGATCAATTTGTGTTTTTTTTTTCTCCCCCAACTCCCCTCTAGAGCCACTTAGCCCCCCGGACAATTTCTCCGACGGCCACCCAGCTGGCATTCCGAAACAGAACAGCCACAGCTCTCTTCAGACCATCCCCTCGTCGTCCACAGTCTCCGAGGACGTGGCGAAGGAGGACGTCATCTTCTTCTGAGCCGCCACCGCGGCGAGCGGCCCGGGTCTCGCGGTGCACGGCATGATGGGGGATGTTGTGCGACACGGACTTCCTTCCTTTGGGCCCTTGGGGAAGAGGTCTGCTGCTCCGACACATGGACTCCAGCCCCAATCCCATCCACTGTGAATTCTGAACGTGCAGGAGGGTTTTATTAAGCTCCACGATTTTAGTATTTGTCGTTTTATTATTGTTTTTCACCTGTGGTTCCCAAAGTAGCAAAGGGCTTTATTCATCATTTTTAATTGGCCCCTGAAAACAGTTTTAATATTAACCGAAGGAGGAAAAGAAAAAAAGAAAGGGTGGGTGGCATCTCCTATTTATTTAAAAGAATTTTTATGCCCTTTGCTTTCCTTTTTATCCTTTTTATTCTTCCATGAAGAGAGTAATGAGTACCAGTGTCCAAACGTGATGGAGGTGTGGGGTGATTTTCCTGCTCTGAGCTGACGATGGAGAGCAGGCTACGTTTTGAGATGTAGTCCATTAATGAATGGAGCTAGCCAAGTGCTGCTCTTTGTTTAGAAGTGTCTGCTTCTCTGCACGGCGAAGAGAAAAAAGATAGCAGATTGTACTGCTTGCACCACAATCCGAAAGAATCAGGCAGGCTGCTTATTAGCAGTAAAATAATGGTACGATTTTGTTTTAGTTGAAAATATGTCCCAGGCATTTTTAGCTTATTCCAGTAATGGGTACGATATCAGTGCATGCAGAATGTAGAATGTCCAATGCTGATGAAGAGGGCTTGTGCCTCCTGGGGTCATTTCTACATCTTGTACATGCACCCTCTACTGTATATTACATCCGCATTTTACAGGACAGAAGAAACCACAAATATGTATTGTGCTCTAGATGGGGAAGGCAGTTATTTCCTGTTTTTTTTTTATGCAAACCCTGACCTTTTCATTCACCACAATAATCATCCGATCAGCAGTCACGCCTACGACCCAATCAGGTTGTCATGGTGTAGGTAGCCGTGAGGAGCCATAAAAGGCTGTAGAAAACCCTACACTGGATTTTACATCACCTTGGTGATGTGCAGCTCTTAAAACCACTACTTTAACTGTTTTACACTGTTTCTTTGATCTTGAACCATGTCAGTGGTAATACTCAGTTTAAGCAGACCTTTCAGAGACGCAAAGTGATTTTTAATTTTCTTCCTTCCAGCAGTGCTTGAACGACTTGAATTATAGGTGCAGTAGTTACGGCCATTACATAACCTGAGTATTAGCTCATATTAAGGTTACTCCCCCAGAAAATACAAGTGCTGTGTTTGCTTTGCACGAATGTCCCTGACATTACAGCGTGATAGAAATTTGAATTTCAGGTCTGTGATTTAGCCATTCTTGTGGACAAGTCAGGGGGCTTCTAGATTTAAAATGACAATTCCAACAGTTTTGGCCTAGAGTGGCAGTATAAACCTGAATATAACATTTCAGGCACTCTACTTCAGCACTTTACGTATATGGCCCATGGGTCATGGAATACTTAAAAAAAAAAAAGTTTGCCAATTTCCATGGCCATAATTAGGTAAACACTGGTTCTGGATTCATTTAAAGATGAATAGATTTTGAGGTTTATGTCACAGTTTACTGAAATTGTAAGCACAATTACTGTTTGACGCAAGTCCCTTTTTTAGTTGATAGTTTTTAATGAAGTGTCTGATTTGATCTGGTTTAAGTTCTGGGCATGCACAAATTCCAACCAAAATACAACAGCACATCAACAGAACTGATTAAAAACCTACCACGAAGTTTGTGCTTTAGTTGCCAAAGAAATTCTTCTTACCTGTTACCCCTTTGTCTTTATTTTCAAACTCCGAGATAAAGGATCTGTTAACATCAAGCACAGCACAATACAGTAGTGTAAAAGAGCCCTCTGTGTTTGTGTGAACGGAAGACCAAGCTTAACTGTAAGGCCCTAGGCATTTTTATAAACATTCTTTTGAATTTAAAGACCAGTAATACAGGTTTATATTTATGTTACAGAAACCTACTGTGGCCACCAGTCTAGTGTGAAGATAGCTGTGGTATAGACGCCTATTCTAAACTCTTCACTGTACCTTATATTCAACATCTAAAGTCAGGGATAGAGTTCCATGGTTCTGCCTTATCCTTGAAGGTTCCAAGATTTGACAATTCCTTCATAAAGCTGTAGCCTGTGGTTATAAATACAATGAAGTCCAGAGCATTTAATCATGTCTGATGCTTTATGAACGAATCTTTTCCAAGTCCAAGTTAGGGGAGTAAGATAAATGCGTATTTTTGTATGTTTCAATGTTTGTATAATGCTGTATAAATATATTTTCATTTCAACTTGATAGTACAATGCTGGATGTGTCTGTGATGCCCCTAAAACTGATTTTCATTTAGCAAGCTAGTGTAGAAGGTTCAAGATTGCCAAAGCCTTGGTAGCCTAAATCCAGCAGAGCTGTGGTTGTGCTCTCAGGAGGCAACTGAGTCCAGTTATTCCAGTTACAGCCACAGCTCTTGCAGTTGATGGTAACTGTCTAACATGGCGGGGAAATGTGGCTGTAATCGACCATAGCGACAAGATGTATATACTGTATATATTTTCTGTATGAAGTATGCACCTCTATAATTAGTCTTAATTTCACTCTGGGTTAAATGAGACCACATGGCAGTAGGCATTGCAATACCTTTAATATTCCAAGAAGACGGTTTGGCATGTGGAATTTGAGCACAGGGTTCCTATTGCAGAGTTTACAGAGCTAAGGGGAACAAACAATGGATGCCTTTCTGTTAGAGCTGTATGATACTTCTTAGATTTTCTATTGATCTGCTTTGTGCCTCAATCTTTCGGTACCTGGGTGTTCTGCAGAAATAAAAATGGTACATTCCTGTATCTTGTAAGTGATATTACTGTTATTTATTTCCACTGTTAAGTGATGCATTTTGCATTATCCACTTCTTGATTGTGTTGATCAACGACTGCAGGTTTTGATGTGTTGCTACAGAGTTGCACTCCCTTTACCTGATGTGTCTGCAGCAGTATGTGGTGGTTACACGATGCCTTTTACCATTGAAAGTTTCAGATGTGCATTTCAGAGTCAGATGCTTTTGCAGGAACATGTTCTGCATTGTGTGGGCAAATTTGAAACAGTTTGGGGAAATTGCAAAACGATTCTGCAGCCCTAAGAACTTGGGAGCCACTGTCAGGAGTCCTTTTAAATTTCTCATCAACATGTTATTGTTCATAACTTGGGACAGCTATTGGAAAATGCATTCTATGGCATAAAGTGATAAAAAGCTTCTGCAGAGGGCTCTCAGCACCTGCCCCAAGAGTTTTGGAGTCCAGCAGGTTTTTTGTCTTTTTTTTTTAAGTCACCTATGAATTAAGGCTGTGAAAAAAAAGAGGTTGTTCCAACGAATCCTTAAATGGAATAGTTCAGGTATTCTGCCTGGCACAGAGCTGTTTATACCTGAGAGAGACACAGAAGAACAGCTGGAGTCCAGACCCTGCAGTTGCACCAGGTAACGGTGAGCTTTTCACCTGTTGGGCAAAGGCGTCTTCTGTGGCTTAAAAGATCCCTGCCGCTCTCCTAGGTCCTGGGACACTGGTGTGAATGTTTTGCACCCATAGCTGAAAGTAAAAGATCCGAAATCTGCAAAGAAAAAGACTTAAAGGTATCGTGGTTTTGAGTGCTTAAATGTAGTATTCCAGAACCTGCTTTGAATAAAAGAATACATTGCTGATCATTTTGGAGCTGAAACAGTTGAATATAAAAGTAATTGGTCTAGCTGAAGGCATGGTAGTTGCGTGCAAACTCTTTTCAGAAAGTCTTGCTTTTAGGGGGATAGTTTTTGCCTCTTTTCATAAGGTTGGCTAACCAAAGAAATTTTATTTTCTGATTTTTGCTGTAGTTATTTGAATTTGCAGTCTTGTGTTGGTGTAGCTTGGGAGTAACTATGCTGCTCGGCATTAGAGACACCAGGGGATGAGGGAGGTTAAGCTTATGTTTTTTTTTAATTGCAGTCTAAACAATAGAAGCTAATGTTGTCTAAGTGCTCCGCAATCTGCTAAGAACAGCAAAGCAGCTGCCCTTGGGCTGTTGGCAATCGCAAACCTTGCACGGGCCTTTGGTCTTTTTTTCTTCACTGGGAGAGTTGTGCCATTGTATCATTCATGACTACTTGTTTGCTGATGAAAACCATTGAGCACTTTATGACTTTCTGTAAATGAAGTACTGTTCCTGGGGGCACAATCACATCTCTAAGAGCACATTGATGCAACAGGCCATTTTGTTGTTTGGTCTTGTTAGTCATGTAGCAGCACCTGCTGGGAATGCTGACAAATCTGTACTCTATCTACTAGCCTGAAATTGCGCTGATGTCTTAACCAATCTAGTCATCCCCCTTTATATATATATAAAGATTGTACGATACGTATGTATATTTTAAAGCATCTAATTAATACAAGTCACTGTTTTTTCCATAAGTGGTGTGTTATACATGTATTAAATCCTGCGTATGTAATTTGTAAATAAGGAAGATAATTTTTTCTGCCAGTTACAGTTTAGACCATTGATTTTGATAGTTGTAAACATGAAGGGGAAATGAATGTTCATGCTGTATTTTGCCGAATTTCTGCACTTCGTGACATTTGCTGAAATCTGTAGCTCACTGAACAATTATTTTTACAATGTTTTATCCACTGAGACCTAGCAATCTGCAAAATTATAAAAAAGATCTGCCTTAGGAATAACCCTGATTTTTAGCAATAAAGCAAAAATCGTACAAAGCCTTGAACTAAGACTCTTTCCTTTATGTGGTTCTGTGATATCCTGACTTTTTCTGCTATGCTGGTTTTCATTCCACTTGTAATGTTAATTGATTGATTACCTGCTAAAACCTGCAGACACCTAGATCTGTTGAGCAATGGAAAACTTCTTTCTCACTTTCCAGTCTTCTCCCTTGGTGTGTTTGGTCTGAGTGTCTGTCAGGCTCTGCGTGGTGCACCACCTGCTTTGCAAGACAATTGCTTGGCTGGATACTGATTGTCTTGATTGTCTTTTACAGGAGTTTCAACAAAACGTCCGGTTATGCTGCCCCAGGTTTACCCTGCAAAAAAAAAAGGCACTGTGGTCACATGAGGTTGTATCGTTCTGGTCGGTTTGAAAGGAGTCTAGAGATGAAGGCCATTTCCAAA